TAGAATGGATACTAACAGTATCTTTTACTGACAATCCATTAGAATGGATACTAACAGTATCTTTTACTGACAATCCATTAGAATGGATACTAACAGTATCTTTACTGACAATCCATTTGAATGGATACTAACAGTATCCTTTACTGACAATCCATTAGAATGGATACTAACAGTATCTTTTACTGACAATCCATTAGAATGGATACTAACAGTATCTTTTACTGACAATCCATTAGAATGGATACTAACAGTATTTTTTATTGATAATCCATTAGAATGGATACTAACAGTATCTTTTACTGACAATCCACTAGAATGGATACTAACAGTATCTTTTACTGACAATCCACTAGAATGGATACTAACAGTATCTTTTACTGACAATCCATTAGAATGGATACTAACAGTATCTTTTATTGAGAATCCATTAGAATGGATACTAACAGTATCTTTTATTGAGAATCCATTAGAATGGATACTAATAGTATCTTTTATTGAGAATCCATTAGAATGGATACTAATAGTATCTTTTATTGAGAATCCATTAGAATGGATACTAACAGTATCTTTTATTGACCAATCCATTAGAATGGATACTAACAGTATCTTTTACTGATGATCCATTAGAATGGATTAAAATTCTGGATATGTTTATGGTTGTTTCAACTTAAAATTTTATTTTTAAAACATTTGATTAGTGAACTTAAGAATGATTTCAATTCAAATTTCTAATTAATATTTCAACAATTACCTAACAAAATGTTATTAATTAGATGAAGGTAAAAAAATCACAATAAAAATAACTTACTTTCAGTTACTGCTAATGTTATTTGATGAAAACTAAAATTTCACTAACCAACTGTTTACTGTGATATGAAGCACGTGTGTGTGTACATATATCAGTAACCATGACAACTGTATTCATGTGCTATACATAAAATATGTGGAACAACAACTTTGCTTTTCAAAAAATAGTAAAAACAAACATACCGAGATGGAATGTCCAGAAACAGCTCATAGGAATAGTAAAAACAAACAAATTACCTGGGGCAATTAAGACTGGTCTGTAGGGACATAGCACTTCCACCTTCGGAGCTGACAGTCTCATAGTCCGAGCATGTTGAGGGAGAGCCAGAGCTGTGCAGTTTGGAGAGTTTCCGAGCAACTGGGGAAGTTTTCACCTGACTTAAGATGTGTGCTTTGTGTTGTTCATTGAATGTCTGTACCAATATTCTTCTGCCACCTGGAATTTGGAAAGGACTTCTCGGTAGGGATACGCTACAACGTCTTCTCTGCTCCTGAGTAGGTTGCCGATACTTAGTTGGACTCGATGGGGCAGAACAAGGGCTTTTTGGTACACCAGCCGAAGATAAAGAGTGTCGAAGTGAAGAAGAAGAACTTGGTGTTGACGGACTTCTTGAAACCTGTGAAAATAAGTGAAATATTTATTGTTGTTGTTTTTCATATTGAAACAATACACAACTCTTTTGAATTTTAGTGTTGTAAAGAAACTTTTATTTTTGTAGTAAAATTAGTTGTATTGGCTTCAATACAAGTTTGTTTGAGGAAATATTTTTTGACTTCCTATTTGAATTTAATGGAGGCCTTCAAAAAAAACGACTTCAGATGTCAACTTTGGTAATTTGTTGGTTAAGAGTCCTGATTATCATTCTTCTAGTGGTTACCAAGTAACTTAATGTATGAAACTGATCTTTATTCATGTTTGACGTCTGATGACTCCTCCAGTTTCAGATTTATGTAATTCTAGAATATATATGGATGAAACTGATCTTTAAGTATGACTCCTCCAGTTTCAGATTTATGTAATTCTAGAACATATATGGATGAAACTGATCTTTAAGAATGATTCCTCCAGTTTCAGATTTATGTAATTCCAGAATATATATATATATGAATGAAACTGATCTTTAAGTATGACATCTGATGACTCCTCCAGTTTCAGATTTATGCAATTCCTTTGCTGATAATGCATTTCTCAAAAAAATAAACAAATAAAGTTTGAAAGATTAAAACAGAGCACTAAACCAGCAATCAGACAAATCTTAAATAAAACTGTAGTACATTTGACTCGTGACAAACTTTCAAAGTAAACATAGATACCTTAACCTTGTGAGAACTGAACAGTTATCAGAACTAAGATTATGAAAAGCAAACATAGATACCTTAACCTTGTGAGAACTGAACAGTTATCAGAACTGAGATTATGAAAAGCAAACATAGAAACCTTAACCTTGTGAGAACTGAACAGTTATCAGAACTGAGATTATGAAAAGCAAACACAGATACCTTAACCTTGTGAGAACTGAACAGTTATTAGATCTGAGATTATGAAAAGCAAACACAGTTCTCGTTCATGAAAACTGTGGGCAATTAAAGTAGGAACTTAAAAACAAGGTAAAAAAGGTAAATAAAACAAATATGCTAATTAAGTAAAACCAAACAACTGTACGCCTACCAATCCACATTTTCAACATTCCCAATTTGTCCTCAAGTAAAAAGTATATCTCCTAAAAACGCATGGATTATCAGGTTTTTAGTTTTCTGATTTAGCCAATTTTTAATCCAAAGTGATTTGATAGTGGAACAAAATTATTTCCATCCTAAAATTCACATTTTACAAGCTGTTTACAAACATGTATAGAGGGATACTGGAAAAGCCTATTTCTTTCTATATATTTAAAGTTATTAATGACACCAAGCACATGTAGCAGATCAATACTCACTGAATATTCTTTGTTTAACAAATTCTTCTTTTCATTAGGCTTAGTTTGAAGCTGGGAATTAACACCACACAAATCATTTTCGTCACTCAAGAAACTTTTATCACCTGTTGGAAAGTAAACAGTGATGGAGTAAATTCACCAGTCATGCATGCTTGTTATAGAAGAATGTAGTTATTTATGAGAAATAATTACAATTTACAAAATTTTAATACCCTATACAATTGTATCTTAGTTTCACTGATTTAGTATATCTCATTAAGACAATCATATCACACAAAACCTAACTAACTATATATTATGATATGTGCTAAAAAGAAGCAATATCAGCCATATAAAACAAGAAAAAACTTTTCAAAAAAGGAAGTAAACGGATGGATGGCTAATACCAATCCTTCAAAAACAACCCAAGCAAGATAGTAGGGATGACATTTGCATCACCCCTACATAATAGCACAGGTACACAGTGTAGTAGAATGTTAACAGACAAAAATAGGGTAAAACTTAATTGTGACTGAATAATTAAAAAAAGATTACGTCATAAGGAAGAATAGTGTGAATTTAACACAGCATATCCAAATCTTAGATGAAAAAGGTGGTACACGTCTGTTTTGTAGCTACGTTGTTTCTATTTTCTTTTTGCTTTCATTTTCTGCATAATATTACAGTTATATATTGCTATATGTTAATTCTTGCCTGTGCTATTACGTAGGGATGGTGCAAGTGCCATCCCCTATCTTGTTTCCATTGTTTTTGAAGGATTGATATTAGCCACCCCTACATTTACTTCCTTTTTTGAAAAGTTTTTTTTCTTTACTTGTTTGCAGTGTTTCAGTATACATAAGAAGGTTTTATTTATAACCACGTGAGGTTCCCAGTGGAATATTTATTGTTTATCTACTATTGGATGGTAATTCCTATTTCATCCTGTACTCAAGCTTTGTAAAGGAACATCAAATTTCTGTAAGAAAGCTAACTTCAAGGGGTAATGATAACTTTGTTTACACTACAATCATGATTTCTTTTTTTTAATTACTACTAGTTATTAACAATGCTTGTAAACATGGATACTCCGTTTGCAACTATGTCACCTCAGTGAAATTAGTTGACACCATTGGTTTGGTTATGAGTTATGTAATAAAAAAGAAGCAGAAGAAATGAAGAAGAACAGGAAATTCAAATTGTTTGCTATGATATTTACAGACATTCTCAGAATTTGTGACTTAGTCATTACATAAATACTGTTATAAAAGAAAACAATGTAGAGTATCGTAAAGTTCCGAAGACGTATTGAAGAGATATTTTAAAATACCGTTTCGATGAAAAATCCAAGCCATCCCTACATAGGCAGTGCTACCGCCTGACTGATAAGAACATTTTGATAAGGTTTCTAAAAGTGTTACAGAGATTGGGCCAATAATAATACAGTATTAAACCAGTTGATATCTCACCATTTTCATCAGTAGAATGACTCATACTGTCTTCACTTGGTTCTAGAACAAAACAAACTGTGTCAGTCAAACACGAAACGTTAGATAAACTTCCTAATAACTCAATGCTGCACCATTATTTCAATCTAGAAGTCACTATTAACAAATATCCAAAGATGCTTAACTACAAAGTACTATTAAGAACTATCCAAAGATGCTTAACTACAAAGTACTATTAAGAACTATCCAAAGATGCTTAATCACAAAGTACTATTAAGAACTATCCAAAGATGCTTAATCACAAAGTACTATTACGAATTATCGAAAAATGCTTAATCACAAAGCACTATTAAGAACTATCAAACAATGTTTAATGACAAAGTACTATTAACAACTATCAAACAATGTTTTATGACAAGGTACTATAAAGAACTGTCAAACAATGTTTAATGACAAAGTACTATTAACAACTATCAAACACATGGCAAAAGTACATTCTATAACGTGTCCATCTGTTTACTAGAAGGAAAAAGTAGATAAAATGTTTATCCACAAATTAATAATCATTCTAAATATTATCAAAGTAAAAAAATACCTTCTTTTCTAGTGGATGAGACTTTAGAGGATTTTATTATCATTTCACTGTCATAAGAAGATCAAGAGAAATAACTGATAATTCTAGATAACAAAATAACCATCAATTCACAAATACAAACAGAAATCTTAGTGATTTTGTACTCTGCCAAATCATTTTGTTTAGTGTCTTACCTCCATCAGATGATGGTTTTCTCTGGTTGGCTTTCATGATTTCTGTTTGTTTCTTCAGTGTCGATAACTTTTGTTCCAAGTCTTTAAGCTGAAGAAATAAGGGAAATTGGTATAGTGTTAATGCAGAAAAGTGAAAAAAAACAACAAAAGCAGGCATAGCAAAAACATTGTAAACATAGGTAATAAGCAATAAAATATATACAGTGTAAACATTATCGTGTGTATAGTAATATGCAACAGTTTGTTTGCTCTATTGATATCAAAGCTTATCATACCTTAATCAGGTATATACCACACTCGGTATAAAAACCTTAAGCAGGTATATACCGCACTCGGTATAAATACTTTAAGCATCTATATACCGCACTCGGTATAAATACCTTAAGCATCTATATACCGCACTCGGTATAAATACCTTAAGCAGGTATATACCACACTCGGTATAAATACCTTAAGCAGGTATATACCACACTCGGTATTTACACCTTAAGCATCTATATACCACACTCGGTATTTACACCTTAAGCAGGTATATACCACACTCGGTATAAATACCTTAAACAGGTATATACCACACTCGGTATAAATACCTTAAACAGGTAT